AGTGGCGGCTGAAGTTTAAAGATGGTGGGACGCTAACCCCCAGATTTGTTGGGTTCTACCCACTTAACCTCACGACGTGCCATCTCCTTTTCAAAGCCTACAACATCTCCAGTCATCTGTAAAAGGGAGAATTAAAACTGAAAGCTGATCCTTTTTTTATATATTTTAATGTTTATTGAATCAGCCTATAATCAAGGCACAGAGACAATCCAGGGATACAGAGAGGTATATGGATATTGTCATACAGTCCGTACAAGAACATACAGAGAAAGTTTGAATACACTATGTTGAAGATACAGGTTCAGGTTAATTTGTCTTTGACTTAATGTGTATCCACAGTGTCCGAGTAGAGTATTATTATGTTAAACCATGAGAATGCCATGTAATAGCGAAGTATAGAAAGTATAGTAGAAAAGTAGGGTAAATGAGAGGAAAAGAGAGGCGATAATATAGATATGTGTTCGGTAAAAGAGATATTAGGGATCTGAGGGAGGGGAAGTTTTGGATCACACAGGATATTCCATAAAAGTACCTATACCCGAACACCCCCTGAATTCATGCTGATCGTTTTTTTTAGTTACTTTCAGATTTATGATGATAAAATATATAGCAAAGCATTAATTATACTATTCAGAGTCGACTGTTTTATTTAAGCAGTAGATCATGGCTTCATGTTTTGCCGTATCATGAATCGTAAGGCTCCAGTGAAGATATGAATTTCAGATATTTAAATCATCCGTGACAGCTCTGCTTTAAGAAGACAGAAAGTGTCAGGTTTTAATGAGCATGTAGCAAGAGTCTAAGGAATTTCATAATTTGCACATTATCACTTTCAATGTAATTTATTAAAGCAGGACAGCTATTACATGCCATGGGAATAAATGATACGGTGTCATGTAGTCACGTTACAGAGAATACAATTTTGTCTGTACATTACTCTAACCCTATAATTAGTTGTATTTTTTGCTAGCAGATTCTATGCATAAAAGGAGTAAAGTATAAACGTGGTATTTCTGGATCGGAGTACATGCAGAAGTCCCATGTCTAAATAATTTGCAAACATCCCAAGAGTCCATGTTGTAGCCTCATACTTAGAATCGTGACATACTGAGTACATCATTTAGGAACCAGACAGATACCCATGCAGATGCTTCATCCATTTCCACCAGATAACCTCAATATTTATGATGGATTACGCAGTCTGTAGGTAAATATAACTTTTCATTCACAGGTAGGTTTCCCAATTCAATGCATAGATCAGATGTGTACTCACAGACCCATGCAACAGGTGTTCTGTGTGTGCCCAAGCAGATTCTATTGCCTACCTCTGCATATCTCTACCTGTTTTAATCCTAATATCCCTCTTTTCAAGGAACTCCACAGCTCCTTAGCATTACTACTCCCAGGAATATGTCTATAAACTACAATAAATGTGTTTAGAAATCTCAGCCATAGGAAAACGTTGGGAGGCTATTGCACATGCTGCACCAATCAGCATCTCCTCATAGAAATACGTTGAGTCAATGCATCTCTATGGGGAACGTTCAGCGTCTCCATGCAGATGGTAGAGACACTGAACGCCTCTAAAAAGGCAGCATTTACATTGAAAGCCTGCAAGGACAGGCTATAGACACCACAACCACTACAATAAGCTGTAGCTGTTCTGGTGACTATAGTGTCCCAAACCAGTCAGTCCATTCTGCTGAGTCCTTGGGTTGTGGAGGCAGAGGGTCCGTGTGTACAATCCCCAGCATGGAGAGACCGCCTTGCCTTTGTATGTTATCTTTGACATAGGGAAGAACTGTAAATGCAGAGCAACTCTGGCAGGTGGCCATTGTTCTACATGAGCGGCCGTGATTAGAACCGGTAATTGAAGAACAGAGAGGTTAAATACAAGCATTATTAAGCTCCCTAGAGTAATTTTCCCTTTATGCCGCTCATAAAAGGTTCCAGGATAAAAAATAAAATCCATAGAACATAAGAAGCCAGGAAAAGGGAAATTAAAACAAAGCATTCTGTATGTTTATTAACAAAAAGAAGATTAATTTCATGAAAAGACTAAATATCATCTAAAAAGGCTGTTAATGAGGAAAAAAATTAATTAAAATATAAATCATATGAACATATTAAAAAAGCATCACGACCAAATGCGGGAGTTAATGAGCAGACAGGAATAAGACGGTACAAACCACCTCCACCCCTGCCAGATTAACAGGGGTATACCCCACCGTCACCAAAGATCCGAGAACTGAACTCGCAAGGCACACACAACACCCTGTTTCTCCCCCATACGGTTGGTCATAACACACTACCTGTCTAGACACAAGACACAAACCAACTTTATCACACTGGGTGACTTAGTATAGCCACGACAACCGTACGATAGAGGGAAAACCCCATCCACACAAAGGTTCTTAGGACCTATGAGCCCAACTAGTATGTGTCTTCAGACTGTTTGATGACTTGCATGTCACTATGGTTGTTCACTATAACTATCTCATGTCTGAGACATGAACTGAAAAAGCCTTTATTGGACCTGTGTGTCCGCGACAATGCTTTATGCATAAAGTGAAAATTCTTTGAATAAAAGAAATTTACAAAAAAAACATCCACTGAGACTCTAGAACAGGGAGATTGTCCAAAGGTAGATCACCAGATGTTGTAGAACTACAATTTCCATGATACTTTGCATGATTTTAGAATGCCCCTTTGGAAATGAAAGCATCATGGAAGGTGTAGTTTAAAACATCACGGGAATCTTTAGCCTGCTAGAATTCAATCAAATTCAGATAGAGATGAGATGCGTGATCTTATAATCAGGCCTAGATATGACATTATTGTGAGTGTGTAAGCATTGATTCACAACTTTTTTGGGACAAAAGCACACTTCAGTGAAAAGAAACATTTAAGATGAGGCCCATATTTGGTCTTCATCAGTGAAGTATAAACATTGAATTCCTTTGCAGACGTACTAGAAGAGGGTTACATTGTGTATAATGAAACTCACTTACTAACTAAGGATCACTGTATTGTATCAGGTCCCTTCATGCATTTAATAAGTTTTTCCTCACTTTATTCCCACCTTTGCGCCCATCTCCCTGCGACCACTCCCGTCCTTGGCTGAGGTCCTCGTTCTTGATGATCTTTTTCTAATTGAATTCTTCCCCATAAGAGGAAGCATTGGGGAAGAAGTCTTCAGTGGCTGTAACAGTGACATATATGAAATGTGCTTGACTGTCTAAATGCACAGTAGCATGCTTACAATGAATAGATAAAGTTCCTGCTTATCATGTTGTGGTAAGCTTTTGTATGGCTTTGAGCCGGTACATGGGAGATACTTACACAAGGGGATATATTTAAACGGTAGCTGGTACCATTCTGATGGTGGTAGGGATGAACTGGTAAAAGAATTGTTATTTTTCTAGGCACATTTTACTGCGGTTTGGCCCTGCCCAACTGTTTCCCCTCTTTACCTTTCCCTGATGTCAGTTGGTGCTCCACCTTCTGAGTCCTCTCTTGCTGCCTCAATGAGCTATGAGGGTCCCATGCTGCCTTTTGCATGAGCGCACTCCACTAAAATACTGTTTAGCTCGGTGATGTTATTCATTGTACACCAAGTTGAGTTACAAGTTATATTTTATGATTTATTTGGTTCTTTGGAAATCCCTTATTTCAAGTTCTCCCTAGCTGTTGCTCTGCCTGACCATCAAGACCTGCTTTGTCCAATGGCTGAAATGCAGACCTGTTTGATGACAATTCTTGTTGCTAATCAATAAAAGCTGTTGAAGTGCATGTGATTGCTCCCATCAATAAACTCCCCTTACCTGCTTTTTTGGTTTCTTCAATAAATTATCTACAAATGCAACCCCTCCAACATACCTTCTTCTGGGCTCCAGTATTCGACATGCTCAATCATTTCCAGCTGCTAGACTCTTACTATGCCTTTCAATTCATTTATATAGGTGGGCCCACTACGAGGCTCTTGTATACCTTTTGAACATAAGTCACACCAACTGATGATGTCCACCACCAGCAGCATCACTGCCAAGATGTCCCGACTA